ATGGCTAGCCAGTTTTCCCAACACTATTCAACAGGGAATCCTTTCCCCATTGTTTGTTTTTGTCAGGTTTGTCAAAGATCAGATGGTTGCAGATGTGTGGTGTTGCCTCCGAGGCCTCTGTTCTGTTCCATTGGTCTATACCTCTGTTTTGGTACCAGTACCGTGCTGTTTTGATTACTGTAGCCCTGTAGTATAGTTTGAAGTCAGGTAGTGTGATGCCTCCAGCTTTGTTCTTTTTGCTTAGAATTGACTTGGCTATGTGGGCTCTCTCTTGGCTCCATATGAAGTTTAAGGTAGTTTTTTCCAGCTCTGTGAAGGTTGTTGGTAGAGACAGTGATTCATTCTTGTTACACAGGCTAGAATGCAGTGGCGTGATCTCGGCTCACCACAACCTCTGCCTCCTGGTTTCAAGTGATTTTCCTGCCTCAGCCTCCCAAGTAGCTAGGATTACAGGTGTCCACGACCACAGCTGGCTAATTTTTTGTATTTTTAGTAGAGATGGGGTTTCGTCATGTTGGTCAGGCTGGTATCAAACTCCTCACCTCAGGTGATCCACCCATCTCAGCCTCCCAAATTCCTGGGACTACAGGCATGAGCCACTGCACCCAGCCTATTGATCTTGTGTTTATTACTGTAGTTGGGCTTTGAGGGGTTTTGTTTTGTTTCAGAGACAGTGCCTTGCCCTGTTGCCCAGGCTGGAGTATAGTGGCATGACCATAGCTCATTGTAGCCTTGAACTCCTGGACTCAAGCGGTCCTCTTGCCTCAGCCTCTTGAGTAGCTGGGATTACGGGCATGCACCACCATATCCAGCTAATTTAAAATATGTATATATATTTTTAGAGGTTTTGCATGATGGCTCACACCTGTAATCCTAATATTTTGGAAGACCACGGTGGGAGAATCACTGAGCCCAGGAGTTTGAAACCAGCCTGAGCAACAGGAGACCTGTCTCTACAAAAAATTTAGCAATTAGACAGGTGTGGTGACATGTGCCTGTAGTCCCAGCTATGCAGGAGGCTGAGGTGGGAGGATTGCTTGAGCCTGGGAAGTCAAGGCTGCAGTGGGCTATGATCACACCACTGCACTCCAGCGTGGGTGACAGAGGGTAGGAGATGGAGTGAGAAAAAAAATCTTTAAAAAAATTTTTTTTATTTTTAGACACAAGTTTTGCTATGTTGCTCAAACTGGTGTTGAACACCTGGCCTCAAGAGATCCTCCTGTCTTAGCCTCCTGAATTGCTTGCATTACTGGTGTGAACCACCATACCCAATTTATTGTAGTTGTATTTCTGTGGATTTCTTGAAATTGAAAATTCAGATTCTTTGAAAAGACTTACTGAAGTTGAGTCACCAACGAAAACACTATGAGGTAAAGGTGTTGAGGAAAATAAGATCTGAAGAGATTGTGCCCTCAAATTGTTTCTTAAGGACCTAACTTCTCATTTTTAATAAATCAAAGCTGGAACTCGTGAATTTTTTCTTGCGATTTACGTAGAATCTTATCCCAAGGATCCTCTCACACAGAAAAGAACTCATTTGGCTCTGCATCAAAAGATTGACAATTGAATACATTTTTGTGTTTTAAGTTAATATAAAATGTTTTGGTTTTATAAAGGGCAGCAAAACAAAAAATATGTATATATGAAATGTTTCAGATATGGGCCAGGTGTGGCAGCTCACACCTGTAATCCCAGCACTTTGGGAGGCCCAGGCGGGCATATTACTTAAGTTCAGGAGTTCAAGACCATCCTAGCCAAAATGGTGAAACCGTGACTCTACTAAAAGTACAAAACTTAGCCAGGTGTGGTGGTGGGTCCCTGTAATCCCTGCTACTCGGGAGGTTGAGGCAAGAGAATCACTTGAACCCGGGAAGTGGAGGTTGCAGTGAGCTGAAATCACACCACTGCACTTTGGCCTGAGCGACAGAGTGAGACTCCATCTCAAAAAAA